CTCCTTGTGTTTGCTGTGGGGACTTGGGGAGAAGGGGGTGCCAGGATTCCACCTTCCTGTTCCACATAACATCATCCTTGTCCTTCACCCCACTGTGGGATTTGGGGAATGCTGGAGCCCCACCTCCACACACATAGCTGGGAACTCCCTGCCCCAGAAGCCCAAGTGGATCAGGTGGGAGGGACTCTGTGCATGTGCAGGCACCTCTGTGTGAATCCATTCATCCCTTTGGCCGCCCAGGCTTCCAGTGCTCTGGTAGGTGGGGGGAGGGGAGAAGAGGGAGGGGGGGGCCGATAGAAGTGCCCCAAAGACCCCCCTACTTATATCCTCCAGCCTCAACCTAGAGGTTCCTGGGAACACTCAGGTGATTAATAAATGCTTTCTGCTAAGAGCTTTTCAGGCCCTAATCCCACAGGTGGTGTGATCTGATCAATCCCATAGTTGGTGTGATCTGATCAATTGCTTAGCATATAGTAAGTGTTCAATAAATGGCTACCACCAGGGCTGAGGCCCAAGAAGGGGACCACCTTCCTGCCGCCTGGCTGCCCGCCCAGCCAGGAAACCTCCGAGGCACGCCCCCTCCCGGACGTGGGCCACAGCTGAGTGCTCAGTGCTCTGACTGGTGATTTCCTGCCCGGAGCTCCTGCCTGGAGCAGCCTCTCCCCTGAGAAGGCCTTTTGTTCAGGCTCCCTTGACGCTCCCTGCTGGCCCAGCCCGCAAGGCCAGGCTCCGTCTGTGGCTTCTGTGACCTGAGGCCTGAAATTCTCTGGAGCGGGTGCTCCTCTCTGCTAACAATAATAGTAATAAAATAGCGACAGCCCCTTGTTTGTTGAGCCCAGGGCCCAGCTCTTCCACAGACCTCCGTCCTCAGAATGCTCCTAGTGAATGCCAAAAGCTGAACACTGGCCCATTTTACAGAGGGGGACACAGGCTCAGAGAGACAAGCCCCCTCTTCACCACAGAGCGAAGAAGTGGCAGAGGCGGGATGCGACCCCAGGTTTGGCTGGTAGTTCAGGCGCAAGAGCTCATCTGGGTGGTGGGCAGATCCCGGTGGGTTTCTCAGAGGCTCACAGCCCTTCTGTTTGTCCATGTTGGTCAGGAGCATAACTCCAAGAGCATGACTATCACCCTGCAGCCCGCCTCAATCCCAGCAGTTCATTAATTCATACAGGTAATATTTCTGACCAGGCCTTGGGGGTGAGCAGGAGTGAGATGGCCTCTCGGCCTTCCAGGGGCAAACAGCCCTGGTTGAGGGCACAGGGCAGTGAGCAGTTCTAATCCCAGCTCTACGCCTCACTGGCCGTGGGGCTCGGCGCAAGCTATTCTTCCCATGCCCTGGCTTTTTTACCTATAAAATGGATATATTGATAAGACTCCTCTCTACCCTCCAGTGGAGATTAAACTAGTAAATATATATGCAAAGTGTTTAGCACAGAGCAGGGCATATAGAAAGTCAGAAATAGTGTCATTTATTGTTAGTTTTGTTTTTAAAATTGTATTTCTAAAATTGAGATATGATTGGGACGCGTGGGTGGCTCAGTCGATTAAGCGTCTGCCTTCAGCTCAGGTCATGATCTCAGGGTCCTGGGATCAAGTCCCGCATCGGGCTCCCTGCTCAGCGGGGAGTCTGCTTCTTCCTCTGCCTGCCGCTCCCCCTGCTTGTGCTGAAGCTTAAGAAATAAAATTGAGATGTGATGGACATACATTAGTTTCAGGTATACAGCATAATAACTAGACCTCCTGTGATCATTTTACAATGTATAAAAATGTGGAATCATTGTTTTTAAATTTGTACCCTGTGGCTGTTTTCCTGACCACCTGGTGCATTGGGGACCTGGAGAGAGGGGCTAATGCCTCCTGACTCCCGCAGGATCTGAATGAGAAGTTTATGTCCCTCCTCTGGATCTCACTCCTTCGTTCAGTATACATGAGGAAAGTGAGTCTTCCTCATGGTGTGCATTCAGGCACTGATCAGGCATTTTGGGGGTGGCTTCTGTGGGGGTTTCTATTGCCAGCAATGGGACCTCCCCGTACTTCAGTTTCTCCATCTGTAAAATGGGAGCAATTATAGGCCCAACTTCCTAGGGCTGTCATGAAGCCTGGGAGAGTTAATGCTTTGCAAAAGCAGTTAGAAGAATGCCTGATGTCTAGCGAGTGCTTGGTACACACTGCTCTTCTGATGGGGGAACTGGAGTAGGAGGTGTGGTGAGGAGGGCTGCCAGCCATCACCTGGGCAGTGGGGAAGCATGGAGCCGGCGCACTGTTCCAGGAAGCCTCCTTCCAAGGTTGGGCCCTGAACTTGGGCATCGGGACTCCGGGGTACCCATGAGGTGCGTTGGCCCAGTGAGAGGTGATTGTCGGTGGGTGCTGGCCACCATGCGTCGTCTGCCAGAGGAGCCAGAGGGTGCAAATGCAGCTGACCTCCTGCATCCATACATTCATTCATTCAGTGGGCATTTATTGAGCTCTTGCTGCATGCTAGGAACTGGGGCTGGCACAGGGAGCAGATTGTGAAGCTCAGTCTGGTGGGGAGATAGCCACTAATTTAAAAATCACAGCTATTTTTTTTTTTTTAAAGATTTAGAGAGGGAGTGAGTGCACATGGGGGGAGGGGCAGAGGGAGAGAATCTCAAGCAGACTCGATGGAGGGGGGCCCTCGATCTCACAACCCCGAGATCATGATCTGAGCTGAAATCAAGAGTCGGACGCTTAAATGACTGAGCCAGCCAGGCTTCCCTAAGTAATCCTAGCTATTGAATGCTAACTGTGACCAGAGTGCTGAAGGACAAGTTCAGTACTTGACTCGGTAGGTGGGCTCATGGAAGGCTTCTCGTGTGTGAAGCTGGAAGCCGACCGAGAGCAGGCAGGGCAGAGGGAACACCGAAGGCAAGGCCCAGAGGCTGCAGCCAGCACGAGTGGCGGCAGATCACACAGGGTCTCATAGGTGGGCAGGAGCTTGGGTCAGGAATCCGAGAGCTTTCTGGGCCCCCTAACCTGTGAAAACAGTGCTTGCCTCACCTGTGTGGAGGCAGGGGTGTGGGAAGGCCATGGGGTTAACTAAGGACAAATCACACACACATGCAGGTAACACCCCCCCACACACACACACGCATGCGCGCACCTTCACAGGTGCAGGGTGGCTTTCTTGGCGGAGTGCGGTGATCAAGGGCACATGTGGCTTCTCTCCCCTTCTGCCTGGCTGCTTTCATTGACTACTGTGTGCCAAGTGCTTACTGTGACTAGGTTTCCACCTTCCTCACTGATGCAGACACTTACTCTGCACTGTCTGGGGTGTCCTGCTGGAGTCACTGCAGGGTTGCCACCATAGCCTGGAGAGGGTATTGTCCTTGCAGCTGCCCTGCAGGTCTGCCCCGCCCTGACCCTGCACAGGGTCACACAAATAGAAGGTGCCTGTGCAGTGGTGTGTGGGAGAAAGAACCTCAGTTTCCAGGTCCAGGTCTCCACCCTGAGTGCCTCTCAAGGACTCCTTATAACCGTTTAATGAGGTGGATATGATGGTGCTCCGCATTTGACAGATAAGGAAACTGGGGTTCAGAGAGGTCCAGTCAGGTGTCAGAGGTCACACAGCCTCTACGTACGTGAATAGTGTAGCCCCAGGAGCAAGGGATTTGTGTCTGGTTCACTGCTGTATCCTCCAGGGCCTAGCACGGTGCCTGACATAGAGTAGGCCCTCAGTAATAGTTTTTTATTGGGGGGCATGGTGGTGAAATGAGCAGCCATCATTAAGGGGCCCAGGCCCAGCCAGGCTTAGTTGGAATGAAAGACGGTATTATTGATTGTAACTTTAACTAGAGAGGTCCAGGGTTCAGCACCTCGGACAGCAGAGGGTAGGGGGCTTCTGCCTTTTTGATTGTGTGGTGCCAAAGAAGGAGCCATGGGGGTGGGAGGAGAGGGAGCCCCAAGTGGGATGGGTAGGCAAGGGTCTGCCTGTCCTGACATCCCCCCCACATCGGAGCAGGAAATACGTTTGCACTCCTTTGCGAGTCTTGTTAATTGATTCCTTTTTATTCATTGTTTTATATTTTCACCAATGATACACTCTCATTCTAATATTTAAATAGTAACAGCCAGCCTTTAGTAGGCTTTTCCTAAGTTCTAATGTGTTTATATTTATTAACTCAGTTAATCCTCATAGCACTCCTATAAGGCAGCTCCAATTGTGTTCCCCATTTTACAGATGGGGAAACTAAGGCAGAGAGAAGTCAGTAACTCACCCAGTCACGTAACTAGTAAGGGGCAGTGCTGGCATTTGAACACAGGCTCTGTGTTCTTTACCATATTTTCTAGAGGCAAGTAGCAGCAGTATTCCTTGGTTACTGTTATCCCAAATCTGGTTCTTCCCCAGAGGTCACCACTGTTGCTGGCGGCTTTGCTCCAGCCACACCTTCCTTGCCCACCACTTAAACACATTTACACACATAAAAATTGGTAATTTGGTTCTGTGTGTGTGCACGTAAATGGGATCACAGTCTGCACTGTTCCATGGTTTGCCTTGGGGATCTCCCTGGGGTGGTAGCGCAGACTTTCCTCTACCTTTTCCACTGCTGCAGAACATTCCAGTCTGCAGATGTGTCACCGTTTGCTTTACCTGCCTCTGATGGGCATTTAAGTTGTATAAACATCAAAGCCAAAAACATCTAGCAGGGGATTGTCTTGTACCTGCCTCTCTGCACATTGCAAGCAAACATTCTCTTGAATACTTGAAAGTGGCATTCCTGGGTCTGAAATGGATCCTGCCAAATTGCCCTCCAAAAAGGCTGTTATCAGTTAACAGAACTGGCAGCGTTGTCGGGGAGTGACCATTTCGCTGCGCCTTCACCAGCACCGGGTATTATCGGTCATTTCCGATTTCTGACGTTGTGCCTGGTGAATAACCTGTCTTGCGGTGGCGTTTAGTCGTTTGCTCACCTGCCTGCTCACTCCTTTGTCGCCCACCCCACTGTGTCTTTCAGCCTGGCCGCCCCACCTCGGTCTCCGCCATGAACGGGCCCACCCTGCAGCCCTCCTCGGCCTCCTCCGCGTCTTCCCCCTCCTCGTCGGCAGCGTCGTCGCCGTCCCCGCGGGGCTGGAGCGAATTCTGCGAGCTGCACGCGGTGGCCGCGGCCCGGGAGCTGGCCCGGCAGTACTGGCTCTTCGTGCGCGAGCATCCGCACCACGCGCCGCTGCGCGCCGAGCTCGTGTCGCTGCAGTTCACCGACCTCTTCCAGCGCTACTTCTGCCGCGAGGTGCGCGAGGGCTGGGCTCCTGGGCCGCTGGGATCCCGGGCCGCGCCGCCCGCTCGTGACTACCGGGACACGGGCCGCGGGCCCCCGGCCAAAGCCGAGGCAGCCCCGGCCGACTCGGGCCCGGGTCCCGCCGCCCCGGCGCTGCCCAAGGCCCGCAGCTCGGAGGAGCTGGCCCCGCCGCGACCGTCTGCCGCCTGCACCTTCCAGCACCTGCGCCACAGCCTCCGCCACATCCTGCGCCGCGGTTCGGCTGGGGAGCTGCCCGCCGCCACCGGGGCCGCGGGGGAGGCGGGCGAGGGCCTGGCCCGGCCCGGCCTGGCCAGGAAGCTCCTGCCCTGGAGCCTGGCCCGCGAGCCGCCGCCCGAGGCCCTCAAGGAGGCGGCGCTGCGCTACAGCCTGGCGGACGAGGCGTCCATGGACAGCGGGGCGCGCTGGCAGCGGGGGCGGCTGGCGCTGCGGCGCGCCCGGGGCCCCGACGGCGGCGCGGACCGCGTGCTGGAGCTCTTCGACCCGCCCAAGGTAAGCTCCCCGCGCGACAGCCCTGCGGGCGGCCGCACAGCACCCAGAGGAAAGCATGCCTTTTAAAAAGTGAAGAGTTTCTTTTAGACCATTTTAGATTTGCGGAGAAGTTGCAGAGATGGCCCAGGGTTCCCTCGTACACCACACGCAGCCTTGCCTAATGTTAGCATCTTACGTTACTGCGTGCATTTGCATAACCCAGGCACCAGCGTTGGCCACTAGTATTGACACTCCGCGGTTTCTTTGGATTTTGCTAGTTTCCCCTAACATCGCTTTTCTGTTCCAGCATGTACCATATTAGATTCGGTTGTCATGTCTCTTTAGGGGCTTAATGGCTTTGATAGGTTCTCAGGCTTTCCTTGTTTCCCATTACAGTTTTGAGGAGTACCCATCAGGGATTTCGTGGAGAGTCCAGAGACACCGTATATGGGCGTCATGTGGGCTGTGACAGGGCGGTCCAGGGCCTTGACAACCCTGACCCAGATGGACCATGACAAATAGGGATTTTTCTAGAGGGTTCAAAACTGTCATTTTGATTCCTTTGCATGTCTCATGATTTGTGGATGTCCATTTTCAAGTGTTAAAAATTCTGTTTCTTTTTTGACAACTTAATTCAGCTCTGCAGATGAGGCTGGAGGGTCGAGGTGTTCCAAACACCGGACAAGCTCTACCTTTGACTCAGGTCTATCAAGTTGATGGGACCACGTGGCTTTCATTTAATTCCTTTCTCTTTCCGTTATGCTGCTAGAGAGTGAGCAAAGCAGATGTGGTCCTGGCCCTGGGAAGGTCACAGTCTGAATGGAAGAGACTTAGTTATTCATTCATTCAACAGATATTTATTGAGCACCTACAGTGTACCAGACAGATGCTGATGCTGGGGACCTGGCATCTTAGTGGGAGCTACTGAGGAATAAACCTACAACTGAACATGGAATTATAAATTCTACATGGTGTTATAAAGGAAGAGCAATGGGGCCTCTGGGAGTATCACTGAGGGGCCCCAATTTGGTGGTTGGGATAGGGTGTTGCCAAAGAATCCTCATGTGAAGTAACCTTTAAACTTTGGCACCGTGTCCCATGCGTACACAGCAGTGGGTGTGTGAATTGGAAGCTTCACAAGTATTGCCATGTTTGCACACACCCAAGTGACCCAGCACCCAGGGGCTCCCTCCCGCCTCCTCCATGTCAGTAACCCCAGCCACCCCCTCCTCCCACTGACTCCTACTCTACGGATTACATTTCTCTGTTCTTGAACTTCATACAAATGGAATCACGCAGCATGTTGCTTTTGCTCAGCAGAATGTTGTAGAGACTTGTTCATGTTCTCGTGTGCATCAGTAGCTGGTTTGTATGGATGTACCACAAGTAGCTTATCCATCCACCTGTTGATGGATATTTGGATTGTTTCTACTTTGGGACTCTTATGAATAATGCTGTTATGAAATTTGGGTATAGTTCTTTGTGTGGACATGTGCGTCCATTTGTCTCAGGGAGATTCCTAGAGGCCTTGCTAGGCCATATGGTTAAGTGCATGTTTGTAAGAACCTTCTATATTTTTTCCAAAGTGGCTGCATGATCTTATGTCCCCACCAGCAGTGTATGAGAGTCTTTTTCCATTTCACCCCTGCTAGTGGATGTGTACTGGTTTCTCATTGCGGCTTTAATTTGCATTTCCCTGATGACTCATGAGGTTAAGCACCTTTTCATTTGTTTATTGGCCACTGGAATTAACTCTTTTGTGATGTGCTTGTTATTTTTATTGAGTTGTCTGTTCTTATAGGAGTTTTTATATATGCTGGATTGTAAATATCATCTCCGATTCCGTGGGTTGTCTTTTTTCTTCTTTAATGGAATCTTTTCATGAACAGAAGTTCTCAATTTTAAGTCCAGTTTATCAGTTGCTTTCCTTTATAATTATTTTGTGTCCTGTTTAAGAAAACTTTGCCTACCCAGTTTCATGAAGATCTTTCTTGTCTTTTCTTCTGGAAGCTTTATTTTTGGGCCTTCACATTTTGGACCAAGATCCATCTCGAATTAGTTTTTATGTACGGTGTGAGGTAAGGATCATAATTCTTCCAGTTGTTCCAGCACGATTTGCTGATGTGACCATCTATTGGATTGCAATGCTGCTTTTATCCTAAATCCAGTGTCCATCGGTGTGCTTCTGGAAGACTCTCCCTTCTGTCCCCTTGGCCCATGTGTCTGTCCTTAGGCCAACACCACACTGTCCTAAATGCCAAAGTTTCGTAGTAAGCCTTGAGCTGGTGACTTTTGGACCACAGTCTTAATCCTGAGTGAAGAATCTCTCAGTGTCAGGGCCCCTGGCAGACTCAGTCGGTAGAGCATGTGACTCTTGATCTCAGGGTTGTGAGTTCAAGCCCTACTCTGGATGCAGAGGTGACTTAAAAATTAAATCTTCAAAACAAAAAAAGAATCAGTGTTTCAGGCAGAGGGAACAGCACAGGCAAAGGCCCTGAGATGGGCATTCTGTGTATTTTGAAGAATATAACAGAAGAGGCTGGGGTGGTGGGAGCACAGAGAGGGAAGATGGAGCATGGGGAGTATGTGTGGTTAGAGGGTCCCGTGAAGAGTTAGCATTTTATTCCAAACACAATGGGAAGCTGTTGGAAAATGCAAGTGCAGATAAAAACTGTTTTCTCATCATTTTTAAAGTCTTGAGGTTATGACACCATGAAAGGCAAATAACATCCCAAACACATGGTCTTATCTGTGTGACAGCATGGGGTCCCTACAAAACTTCACTTTAAAAACAGCTTCTGGGGTGCCTGGCTGGCTCAGTCAGAGGAGCGTGCAACGCTTGATCCTCAGGGTCGTGAGTTTGAGCCCCATGTTGGGGGTAGAGATTACTAAATAAATACTTAAAAAATACAAATAAAAAAGTTAAAAAAACTTCCGCTTTTAAAATAAACCATCTTGGAAAACCAGGTGTCACGAGTCAAGTGGACCTGAGTTTAAATAATGAATTAGTTTTTTTCCCAGTTCTGGGGCCGTAGGCAAGTGACATCACCTCTCTGAGCCTCAGGGTCCTCCTCTGTACAATGGGGCTACTCACAGTTCTCACCTTATGGTGCTGTTGTGTTGATTGGGATAGCCCCTGGCCCGGGGAGCACTCAGTGTTACTGCTCCTTGTTGTCATGGTCATGACTTTGGAATGGAGAACACGGATTTATTCCCAGTGCTGGTCTGGGTCCTCATTGCCCAACTGGGAGGCGCCACCAGGGCCCCTGTTCTTCAGGAGCCCCAATGGTGGGGCCCCCGTTGGAGCCCTGAGGACTCAGAAGTGGTGTTTTGGCCCCTGTGAAATCGAGGTCTGGGGGAGGGCAGCTGGGGCCCTGGGGCTCTGTCCTAGGCTTGGTGGTTGCTCCAAGACCTGGGGTATCCTCCCACAAAGTGAGCAGCCCTGGTAGGGCCTCTCCCAGCCCCCCCACCAAGTATCTGGCTTGGCGGAGCAGCCCAGCTCCACCAGCCTCCAGCAGCTCCCCATTGTGTTTGGAACAGTCTAGGGGCTGTTCCTGAATGTTTCCTGGAATGACTTGGAGCGTCCAGTCTCCGGGCTGAGGATACTTAGACTGTAAGTCTTGATTGAGTGTGCCTGCCAGGTGGGCAGTCTTGACCTCTGACCCTGGAGTTGTTTAGAGGAGTAGCTTTAAACAGAAAGCAAAGGAAGGTTGCAGGTTTGACAACCAGTAGGTGGTGGTGAAGGGCCTGAGCTCTGGATTCACACCCACGCTATGGCACTTGAAGGGTGCCCAGCACCAGCCTGGAGAAGGTCCTGCTGCCCAGAGCAGGCAGAGGTTTGGAGGACAAGAGCTGAGACAGGGAAGCTGCCCAGAGACATGTTCCTTGGGCCTCAGCCAAGCAAATGCCATCCAGAAACTGAGGCCAGGGAGCCAGGGGCTCATGGGTCCCCAAGACTCACCTCTGCTTCTGACCAGCTGTATGACCCTGGCTGGTCTTCCCCACTCAGCCTCATTCTGTTCATCTGCAAGCAGGGGTGAAAGCAGCCACTCAAGCTCATGATGAGGGCTACAAGGGGAGTCCTTGCTAATGGGGATATAAGTGAAGGCCAGAGCCAGGCTGCTGGCTGGGGAGCTGGAGGGTGGTCAGAGGAGACACTTGGGGCTATTTCCAGTGTCCGAAGATGGGTGGTCACGGCCTTCTCTTGTTTCAGTGGCATCCCTGCAGGTGGGCAAGAGATGGGCCTTCCTTCTGGGTGCTGGCCTTCAGGAGGAGGCTGGACATTGGGGGGTGGTCCTCAAAGGCCCCTTGGCAGGAAGTGATGTCTGAGATAAGATGCAAATCCTGAAAGATCTGGGTAAAGGAGTCCCAGGTCAATGAAATGGCAAGTGCAAAGGCCCTGGGGTGGCCATGAACCAGGAGACTTTGAGGAATGTACAAGTGGCCAGGGGCTGGATGGAGGAAACAAGCAGAGAGAAGATTGGAAAGGTGCTAGGGCTGGATTAGGTGGGGGCCTTGTGGCCCCAGGGAGGACTTGGGGGTCTCACGCTATCAGTAGTGCACGATTCTTCTCCTACGAGACCCTCTGGTCTCTGTCTTCACTCGTCCGGTGGCAACTCCCCCTCCTCAGACATGTCTGAGTCCCAGGGTCGGGCTAGAATGGGGGGCAGCATATTTACTACCTTGAATGGGCACCTACTATGTGCCAGCCATTGCCCTACCCACTTGACCTAAAGTCCTTCCCCATGAGTTTTGAGGCCACTGGCCCATTTGACAGGGAAGAAACTGAGGCTGGGAGAGGCAAAGGGACTCACTCAGGGTCATGCACCTGAGGAGAATGGAACCCCAATCGCAAGGGGTTCCCACCTCCAAGCCCCTGGCCACACTCTTTGACTGGCTCCCTCGAGCCCGAGCCTGTAGAGCGTCAGCACCCAGCCAGGCCAGGCCGGAGATGTGCCATCCTACTCGGCAGTTAAAAGAAAAAAAAGTTGGATTGGTTACCAGTATTTAAACACAGATCT